GGGGGGGGGGGGGGGGGCGAAATATCTGAGATTGCCCGAATTTCTAGAGAGTAATGAGAGTCATGCCCGAAAAACTTGCTTTCGGGTCTGCGAGTGAGGCGGCTGCCCCCTCTGCTAAACGATACATTTAATTAAAAATAGCTTTCTGTCTTTAGAAGGGTCTTTTCAGGTCTTATAACAAAAAGATGCAAGATTTTTTCTGGAGACGGTATCGACCACACTCAATGTTTTGACCTTCGACTTCCGGTACTGCCATTGACACCATGTGTCTTGGCTTACCTGTTCAGCATCCCCTCTAAGAGTCAGTATGCTAAAACTGTTCCCAATTGATAATATTTTGTGAGTATCTTTAATCATGCAATAAAATCTCTTCGTGTTTCGTATGTGCATGACAAATCATTCGATTGTATTTATTTTTTACATATCAGTTACCACATAGTCAATAGAAAGTGCACTTTGAGTCTGAAATGTCACATAGAGACGGATAATAAACTTTATGCTTTCCGATATTTTAACTTGATAATCCAGTCCAAGTCGACATATGAAACATTGCCTTGTTTTGTAGCTTGTCTATATCATTGAACGATGATGTTATGTGGTCACTATCAGCCACCATAACATCGGCATGGATCTATTGCACGCTGAACTACTATTTAACTTTTTGTTTTTTTTAAAGGAATAGTCAGCTTTGAGAATTTGTTATCAATGATGATGAAATCATTCTATGGGTTTTTGTGATTGTTTGCATCACAGTGTGTCTCTTAAAACGTGGTCAATATAACGTAAACTTTGAGTCTTCAATGTCATATTACACAGTAATCATGAAGAGCTTCCTGGTTTCTAATATTTTAATATGGTAATCCAATACTTGTTTACATATGAACATAGTCCTATACACAATTTAAGTTGAAATCAGAATTGCGCCCTGTCAACCAGTATACGAAATTTTCCAGACTAACAAGTAAGCATATTAAATAAATAAGAACACTATTATTGATATACTACTCCTTACTTTAATTTTTGCAACGTTTCAATTCACATACAGGAATCTTTATCAAGCACAAAATAATAACGATAGAAAACAGAACAAGAAGTATATAAACAGTAAAAAAGTGACATCTATAAATTAAAGAGGAGTAGTATATCCATAATAGTGTTTTATTTATATATTGTTCTATCTACTTCTAAATGTCATTTAAAGATTTTAGTATAAAGCATAATGTGACACGGTATCAGTTAAAAGCTGCAAAATGTGAAAATCGCGTGTCTAATATAATCAACAAGTGTTTTAATATTTTGCAAAAAAGAAAATAGTTCCTTGAACTTGAAATTCATCAGTCAAGTTGCTTTTTATGTTTGCACGTTCCTTTTTGTAGTGTTTGTAGTGTATGTTAAGCAACTGTGACAGGTGCGCCAGGCAGGGTATGCTTGCACTTCTAGACACCTGCTACCACTTTTCATTACTTATGGTTGATATACTTCCTCATGTGAAAAACTCATTAGCTGCTACCAATGCCAAGATGTTTTTTGATCGTAATTCATTGGTTTATTTATAGATCTGATTATTTTCTAAATTCCATTTTTCAGATATTATGGTCTAGGCCTACTACGAAGAAAATGGCGCGAAGAACAGCTTTGGAATTCTACCGGAAACGACAAACTATAGAATCTCTAGCAACAGAGAGACCACAGAGTTTAAAATCCGTGTATGACATCATCAACAATGCTGTGGAGCGATTGGAAGAGAAAGTCGAAATGCTGATGACGTCATATTATGGCGCAGACGAAACGTTAGATGCTCAAATGAAAAAATGGCTGCCGATGTTTTTGTTGCTGTTACGTCAAGGTAGAACTATGGAGTTGGTGTGCAAAGAACAAGTCAATGAGTTTGTGATTAAACACGACAATTTGTTGGAGAGATCCCCGTTTGATCAGGATCTATTGGATTCTGTTGATGACATCATCAACCACATTTTCTGTACTATCCGGGAAGGATTTACACCAATTACGTCATCTATTCAGGAACTAGTTGGATTTATGGGAAAATATTTAAAAAGTTTCAGTCCAACAGATGGCGATCGTTACTTAGAAACATGTACGAACTATGAAAAACAGAAAAATGCTTTAGAAAACGCCATTTTGTTGAACATTCAAAACATCTTTTTAATGGCTGACAAATTTGAAAAAGAGTGTTTAACGCGCGACCATTTTGATTACGTTTCAAAAGAACGAATTGAAAAATATGGATGCCTTCATGTCCCAGTTCTATTGGTTTTACCTGCAGCTTGTGATAATTTAAGAAACGCCTTCGTAGGAATCCGGAAGTGGCTTGAAGCAGATGCGAATTATGTAGATTATCTAGTGAAAGACGTGCATGAATTGGAACGAAAGCGCGAAATTGAGTCACGTGAATTAAAGGAGCTACAATTTAGAGTGAGTGGTCAGGAATATAAATTCAAGTGTTTGAAAAAGGAAATCGATCAACTGACAATGGAACTCGACAGATTGAAATCGAAGGAGTTGGTTATTAATGAAGAAGAGAAAACAATTTCGAACAATCACAAAAACCTCAATGTGGATTTAGAAATCAAATTGTATCGTCTGTCAGAAATGAAACAGACGACACCTAGAAAGCCTAACCGCCTCTTTAAAGAACAACTGGAGCGTCTTAACACCGAAATAACCCTATTAAAGGATAAACAACCGAAATTAGACCGGAGTTTGACTGATATACAGAGCAAGAAGTCGTGGATCTCCGAGAAGCGACAGGAGAAAAACGAGAAAGAAGCTCAGCTCGAGGAAGTAAGAAATGAGCGACGCAAAGTCAAGAAATTGGCGAGGAAGAGCGAGGTGGAAATTCTTCGGATTGCCGACTGTATCCACAAATTGAAAGATATCAAAAATATGAAAAACAGTGACGAAATTTTACGGCGGCTTTTTCACAATCTTCCTATCTTCTCAAGAAATCTCCACAACACGAAGAAACGAGGGGGTAAGTAAGCTAATTTTGAAACCACAATTAGCAAATTATTTATGTGTGACCCTGTTTATAATGTCTACAGTTTGATTTGGTATGGTAAAGGTAAGGCGCCGTCAACACGATCATACATTTGTTCAAAATATCATGATACATTTGTTCAAAATATCATTATACATTTGTTCAAAATATCATGATACATTTGTTCAAAATATTATGATACATTTGTTCAAAATATTATGATACATTTGTTCAAAATATGATACATTTGTTCATAATATCATGATACATTTGTTCAAAATATGATACATTTGTTCGTAATATCATGATACATTTGTTCAAAATATCATCTTACATTTGTTCAAAATATGATACATTTGTTCATAATATCATGATACATTTGTTCAAAATATGATACATTTGTTCAAAATATGATACATTTGTTCATAATATCATGATACATTTGTTCAAAATATGATACATTTGTTCAAAATATGATACATTTGTTCATAATATCATGATACATTTGTTCAAAATATGATACATTTGTTCAAAATATGATACATTTGTTCATAATATCATGATACATTTGTTCAAAATATGATACATTTGTTCAAAATATGATACATTTGTTCATAATATCATGATACATTTGTTCAAAGTATGATACATTTGTTCATAATATCATGATACATTTGTTCAAAATATCATCTTACATTTGTTCAAAATATGATACATTTGTTCATAATATCATGATACATTTGTTCAAAATATGATACATTTGTTCAAAATATGATACATTTGTTCATAATATCATGATACATTTGTTCAAAATATGATACATTTGTTCATAATATCATGATACATTTGTTCAAAATATCATGATACATTTGTTCATAATATCATTATACATTTGTTAAAAATATCATCATAAATTTGCTCAAAATATCACCATACATGGCCTATTGGATAGTACATTATAAATATTAGATGTTCCAGAGTTGATTCCACTGGAATGTTCAATTTGAGTTTGTTACAAAATATGCCTACAATAAAATTTGGAAATACATAATTGGCACTTGTGCTTCCGAAAAATATTAAATTAACTTAAATTTTTATGTCTTGCAGATAAGTTGGATCGAGCAATTACATTGGTATCAAGATACATAGATAGTGATTGGATCAAACTGTACTGGCAACTTCCATTTTATCCAATCAGAGGCGAGGAAACAAAACGACAAGATATAGAAGATATTGCTCATAATTTTATTCGCCATGTTACCGAGGATCAGGCAAAACAATGTCTGCTAAAATGGCGACGTCTTCACACTCGTGCGACCCTAGCTTGTCTAAGGGATGCCCTGAGCGCCATGAGACGAAAGGATATTATAGATATTCTAGATAAAGAACTAAAGCCTCGTCCACAATGTTCAGTGAATCCTAAATTATATCGAACTGTTCATTTTCCAGAAATACTCGTGGTCGATTGTCATTTGATTTAGATTGTTTTAAATTGTATTGAATGCATTTTAGACAACAATTTATATTGATACAGTTTCACTGAGGCAATAAATGAAATACACCACTGTGTCAAGCCAAGTTATTAGAGTTTCTTATCGTGTACTGGGCTAGAAAGAAAGAAAAGAAAGAAACAACTATATTTGACAAGGATAACAACTTAGGTTCACAAATGAGGATCATTTCCACTAGCTGGTCCTTGGCCAAACCTCGTGGCACAAATCTTTCCCGGATTATCCGTATACATTTACGGCTGGGTCAACTTGAAGAATTAGGCTAATGTACAGGAGTTTTTGCATAGCTATAGATTGAAGGAGCGTCAATTCAGAACCCTGGCGAAGTAGAAAGCTTTATGACTTTCGCACGGGCAACGCCTTGGCACACGGGGTCTCGGTTTATTGTCCCATCCGAACGATTCGACGCTTGTTCCATTTAACCCACTCTTACCTGCATGTGTGAAACAGAGGAAGAGTTCCGAATTGAGATATACAAAGCTTGCTGGACAACCAAATTGATATAATTGTGGCACTAAACAAAAATAACCTGAATTGCTATATCTGCTATACAGAGTTGCCTCCCCTTAATCATAATACGTGTACTACAAAAAAATTTCTTTATCATTTTTATCTCTCTTCACCGTGTTATACAATCGCAAGAAACTAAATGAATGGGGGTTGGAGTCTATCCCCCATACTTTTGTTTTTAAAACATGTTCTCCTGAATTCCCAGAATCCTCTCTAAGTCAATTTATTGCCTGTTAATCGAAGATTTAAAGATTTCCAGTCTGTAGTTAATCTAATACTATTTAACCTCCCAGATAATTATGGGTGGGAGCCCGTATACGTGGTTCAACCATTCCTTATGACAATCTAATTGTACAAAAAATGGGCATGTACCTGTAACAGAATTTAAATTTGTATTACTATCAGCATCAGATTAGCAGATTAAAAAGATTAGATGGGTCAGGCCTATCACGAGATAAAATTCTATTCGTCATGCATACCTGCCATCCATCACGTTACCCTTACTTTATTACGTGGGCATTAAAAGTGTTTACACTCAATATTTAACGTACCAAGCTGTACGGGGTTATTTTATAGTTTTAAGGGGAAGGTGTGCCAATTATACTTTAGTCTCAGAAACACTAATTTTTTTTAGCTAAGCCAATCAGTAGAAGTGTTCACAGCTGATCGTCGACATTTGAGCCTTCAAATCCATGTGTGTCCAGATTTATCCAGGTTTTAATGTTAAAATCACGACTCGTCATTTTAAGATACTCTTTGAAAAGCAAATAGTAAATAAAATTCATAATTTGACGTATTTGTAAAGGAATTTTGCGATTTTCGTACATTTCTAGTAGTTCTGAAGGCAATTTTCATAATCAAGACTAAATTCAACCCCCAAAATGAGGCCTTAATGATTCTTGTAAAAAGCTCTCACCTTGGCCTGCTTTTAAAAAGTATTTAAATCTTCAGTAAAAGTTACTTCCCTTGTTTCACAAAATTTGTTCGAGGAGATTATTATGGAGCACTGAAATTGAGGTTTACTTCTTACTTTTCTGCATCTGACCATGGTAATCAAAACGGGAAAGACCACGTAGTAAGGAACCATTTCCACGACAGTAACTTTTTCGATTTTCAATAGTTTTGGGCTCTTTAACGTATACAGCCTTAACAAACAAGGCCTCCAAGATATATTGTCAATCTGAGAGACTGCACGCTTTTTCCATCTGAAACCTTGTAAGGACAGTGCCATTTTCAGATTTAAAAATATACAAGGGAACTTTTAAGAGCAACATTCGGTATTTGGGGCTGATATTTGACCTTGAATAGCCCTTCCGTAAATGTTCTTCATAAGTACTGGAATTGTACAAAAATCACGCAGTCTCTTCAAATATCACTTTTTATATCATCTGCACTGGTTTCTCCCTTGTCTGAACAATACACGTTCACGCATGCGCTTGCTCTAGCGGAAATAGCCTTATAACTAACCAATATGATGTGAAGTACGCATCGAGCAAAATGACGGCAAAATACAACTTATCTTTGCCCAACAAGAATGGGGAAGATGGAACATCAGCACCACCTGTGTAATTTAGACCGGTTCTCATCACAATCAACCAGAAAAAGTATCCGAACACGGAAATGGCCTTAAAACTAAATCAAGGTAGAGCTCAATAACAGGAAATATAGCATTGCATCTTGCTCCAGTCCATCGGGGTGGTAAAGTGATACTATGTCTTAGAATTAACATAAAATTAAAAATTTTTAAACATGGCAAATAAGAGCCAGTATATATACCTGGTGTCATAAATAACATAACAGGATCTTTATATAATCCGATAAATCTAAAAAACTTAGTAATTATCCATAAATATGCAATTAACTATTGAAAAACGCTTAATATCATGATAAAGGGGGGGGGGGGGAGAGAGATGGAACATATAAGCACAACTTGTGTTATTTTAGACCGGTGTTCAACAACAACCAGACAGAAATAGAAACTGTGTTATTTGTACAGTTTTTATAACCCAACAATTGTCAATTTTACATTCATCCATTCGCCAAATTACTAAAATTCACACATTTATAATAATAATAATAATAATAATAATAGTAAAAATATATACTTTAATGATGTACATACAAAGGTTTATCAGACATTTCTGAATTTTAGGTAACCCATGGGAAAGTGTGGTACAGTTTCAGACCAAGTGAAGACATTGCCGTTCTTATGAGATGCATGGAACTTAATTGAACCTTTGTGAAAGGCAAGGATAGTGTACAATTTTAACAGTTTAACGAAGTTCTGCTAGAGCTCTACAGATTCAGCTTTACGGAAACTGCCGAGGATTGCCGAACGCATTTTCATGGCACTTTTTCAGATGGAAGACTTATTTTCCCATGAGCTACCGAATTCATTTACAAATAAAAAAATCAAGGAAAAAACTCAAATATTTTGATTATGATTAACAGTGCATAAGAATAATTTTTCAAATAAAATCAGTCCGCACCGCATAATTATTGACCACCAAATATTTCAAAAAATCTTTCTGCTCAAAGAAATGCGCTTCTAATTTGATTAAAATATTAATGCACAGACATTTTGTCCGACGATATACTTGTCGAAAAAACGGTGAATAATATGGTATTGCCATTCACATCGAAATCAAAAAATAGAAATTAATTATCAAAAAAAAAAAAGAAAACTAAGCAATATTTTAAGTCTACAATATTTAATCATACAAATTATAAATTCAACTTGGAAGAAAGAAAAATACCCCGAAAATTTAAAATAAAAGTTTGAAGCATAAAATATTTATAAAGAAAGTGTCATAAGTTTTAAAGTTTAAACGATATAATAATGCCGATTTTTTTTAGATTTGAAAACAAAATCCATAGAACGTAAAAATGTAGTCACCGCAACCACCCGAACCCAGGAAATTGGAACAAAATAACACTTTCATCCAGGCTGATTTTTTTCTAATTATTAGAAGTTGCTGTTATCTAAACTCGACTTCAACTTACAGCCGCTACAAAGCATTCACAACGGCGAAGTACACGATATATCTATTTGGCGTTCCAAACATTTTGATGTTATGCGAGAAGTTGACAAAAATAATTCTGATCCGTGAAATTATGATCTCGAAGTGAAGAAGCATTTAATACTTTTACTTTTAATCAATCAGCTGCAATGTTTACAAATTTATTTAAACAATTCTGCAGACTGACCTACTCATATATGAAATGGCGAAAATACAAAAGCAAATAGCAGTACAATTGATGCCATGATAGGTTTATCTAAAAATATATATTTAAGCCACCTCAAACTTCAGAATATACATGAAGGCACAATTTCAAAATAATACAGCTATTGATTTGGAAACAATGTAAAATAAGGCCACTGTTGATAGAAGGCACGATGACATAAAAGGTCATTCGGAAATGGAAGATTTTCATTGGATAATATCGTTGAACTAGCAGTTGGAATACACAATAATAATAGAGATCTTTCGTTGTTCGTTTGAAGTCCATCATTTCAGTTCAAGGCAGTTTTTATTTCATCACAGTTTGTAGATTTAAGTATCACTTGAATTCAGCAGTATTGAAACCTCTGTTTCCATGACAACGCCCACTGAGCATGTCCGGAAGTGGATTAAGAAGGCACTTGGTTGGAATGTGAAACAATGAATGGGAATGTCTGATATTTTGATGCATTTCTCTTCTGTTTAGATGTCTGGTTGTCATGGTTACACGAAAGCGCCACGACCACAGTTTATATTACAATATGGTGACGGCCGAGGCCTGACTAGAGCGCCACCAACTAAATGAATTATTGTCGCCATTTGATTTAGATTTCACACACTTTATTAAACTTCGATAATTCATTTAAGAAAGTGGCAACACCATTGCACCATAATATTGAATACTTGACTAAAATCTACGATTATATGATTTCTTTTTTACAGTTCAGCAGTAACTCCACCTTAGCAACGCACATAATGGAAGCACGTGATTTAGTTGCTTTCAATACGTCATAATGACGTATGAAGTTCGAAAATATAAAAAAATAGGTTCGATAAGACATCCATATTAAGTTATTCCAAGTTTTAAACTTGTATCATTTACGCATTTGATTCATCATCAGCTTGGCTGTATTCCTTCTTTATCATTGGCTTGCTCTTGAAGATTTTCCACAAGTTTAGGACTAGGTCAGATAGTAAAATGTCATTGGAGTTTTTGGAAATCAGACGAAGAACGAAAATACCATCATCTCGTAAATACTGATCAGCAAATTTCTTGGCGAATCGCTTGTCTTCTTCCCCTCGAACTTCATCTAGAAGTTTTAAGTATTTCTTGGCGTATCGGACTCGGTTTGTCTTGAAAAGAACTCTCCAAATCCAGAAAACGAAGTTACCGCAAGTCAAGATGGCGACGACGACGAACCAGAACCAGAGGAAAATGAAGATTTTTTCGTTGAATAAATTGATGGGAAGAACGCATTGAACTGTGTGTCGTTGTATGTTGGTTAGTTGACGGATGTCGAAATCACAGAGTGTGATTTTAGGGAATCTTGGTGAATCTTTCCAAGTCTGGTCGTTGTAAAGACCGGCCATCACCTCAAAACCATACAAGTTGTACCATTCACCCATAAAAGCATTGAGTAGGAAGAACTGACAGACGACGTTGACGACGTAAACAAGTTTGACGAAAATATAAAGACCAGTTAGGTAGGTACCATCTCGTTTAGAGCAGAGGAAGCAACATAGTTTAGAGACACGTTCTCGAGCTCTAATCAGAGCGTTCCAGTGATATTGACGGTGGGTCTCCAACCATCTATCCATGTATATTGATATATGGCGTAGCGTCTCGTCTCGTTTCTCCGGGGAGCCGATCTGAGTGTCTGTTGTCATGTTCACAATCTTCTCCAAATTTAAACCCGATCCTCCATTGAAGATTCTCCACAAGATGCTGGGTGCTTTGAATAAAAAGGCCATAAAGAGCAGAATGATTGGCACCCATTGGTAATAGGTGAGTTCCTCGGAATCTCTTTTATGATGTTCCAAAGGGATCGTGTTGTCCATAGGAATGTAGTATGTATTTTTCACCCAGCAGAATGATTTGGTGTAGGCAACGTATGATCCCGTGAAGTGGGCAGGACACCAACATTCAATAGGGTTACCGACATATTGACCACCACTAATAAAGATGGCGAACAGGACAAGGATGACTACTGTATATAAATGGTTCACTCGATCGACCCAGTCATCATCATTGGAACCTCGAAGTTTGGAGTAGCTGGAGAATCCTCCAATAATCGCCGAAACTCTGAAAAATACAAGGAAATAAAGAAATTAGCAGAAATTCCCAATAAAGTAAAATTAAGATCTCATTACTTATCGAAGTCGCCATTACTAATTAGAGCATTGAATATAGCTTGAAATAGGTTAAAGGCATCTATGCACGTCCAGGGCCGTTTTCTTAGTTGGTCGGGATGAGTTTGCATGTATGTTACAATTGTATCATGGATACCAATGTACATGTATTTGTACCCTAAAATGAACTGATATGCAAATGTGTTTATTTGCAATTTAATGCTAATTTAATTTATGTACATGCACTGTACATGATAAGTAACTAATACGTAATTGAAACTATTTGTATATATGCTTAAGTTAAGTACCCTAATAAGTGAAACTAAATTGCAGATGATGTATGCATTCACAGATGGTTTTTATATTTGTATTCACAAACACGTTTTGTATATTTAAATAAACAGAAATGACATGGATATAAATTAGCATATAAAGGAAAAGAACTATAAATTGTCAAAATATGAGTTATTGGCCTAGTCATGTAGCTACAAGCTTTATACATATATTAATTTATCACTACTGGTAGTTTTACCAATCCTTTTCAGGACCATTTAGTACAAACTCTAATTCTAATCGTAATTTACTATTGGGCATATGATTAACAATATGTTGTTTGTTTTTCAAGTTTCGTTTTGCGATTCGGATCTTTAGTACTTGGTTTAGTTATTTCAACCAAAATAACTGGGAAACGTATTTTTAAATCGTGTTCAAGGATTATCTGTAATCCAACGATAATCTCATACATCATCTTAATCCCTTGACATGTCGACACTCATCACTATGGCAACAAACTGTCAAAATATAGATAATGGATTAATCACAAGTGACATCAACTTCATTATAGTTCTTGTACATGTCATTGGTTTACAAGAGTATACACCAACAGGTTTAGACAGGGTGACAGTATGGCCAAGATCTGTCTACATATTTTTTCCTGAACAAACTGGTGACTACTTGACTGACCAGGGTCAAACTCCTTTATTAAAATTACTTCTTGCAGCATCTCTAAAGGGAGATAATGCAAAAGAAATACAATACATATACAAGAATTGGTTGAAAGCTACGTGTCCAGTTGCAGACAGTTTCAAAGTAACGTTTTAAAATCATAATTATTTGGGTTAATGCCAATACTGAGACAAAAACATTGTTTTATCGGATCGCATGTCCATTAAGTATATATATTGAACCGGTGACAAAGTGTACCTGATAAGGAGCAAGATATGAAGGGTATATAGCTTAATGGGGATTTATTGATTATAGACCAGAGTGTATTGATAATGATATACCAATATACCAATATCTCCACATAGATATAATACATATCAACAATATCTCGGGGTATCTAGGCAAAACCTCGACCTTTAACCTCAATCCAAACGATTTACATACCATAACTTAAATAAAGCACGCCCAAGCATCATCTATATCAGCCTATGTCTAAATGAATGTTTTTTAAGGGAGCCTACTCTCCAGCAACCCAACTTAGTCCCAGTCTAAATGAATGCATCCAAGAAGCTTACATTGTCCACGGTGTGTTCAGAGCTATGTCCAACGTCCAGTCTAGTTCTGTGTCCACCTCTGAAGACTTCATAAACATTTTAAATGGGTCCACTAAAGCTTTTGATCATAATCAAGAGAAACTTGAACCTATATGCAACCTGCTTTTAAAGTAAACGAAATGGGTCTTCTTTCCTGCATCTTATTACGCTAACGAAGACGGGAATAGAGGTGCAAACAACTATAAATACAGAATTTTCAACGTATGACATATATACAAGGAAACCAACTGAATGTATCAAGCCAACATTTTTCCAAGGAGTTTCAGACTCAACTGAGCATTTCTTATATTTACAGATGTTCAACGTATGACATATAAGTTTAAGTTCATCAGTCTAGAAATAGAGAGTATCTAGATTGTAGGTCAGAGAAACCTGGATAAAGGATTAAAAAAGATTGAAATAACGTCAAGTTATATCCTTGAACCCGGTTTAGAAACAGATTTAAATTGTTTGACAAGTTTTGTCACATATAGTGATACATTGGGTCATCACAAACTGGTACAATCTACTGTAATAGATGGTTTATAAACGGAACAGTGGGTCATCCGACACAGGTCATTCATCTTTAGCGTCTAGCTTTCTTTTGTAATGACAGTCCAAATAAATTGACCAAGGCAGTGGGTCAAACCATCTTGACACACGTTACTTTCTCCAATACTTTCAAGTTCAGGGGTGTTTGGAACTGCAGAGGACCCTTTCCAAAAGATCAAAACCATTACATCGAAATTCTCCAAAGAAATAAGTGAAGGAAGTTGAATTCGTTTCCAAATTTGATGAACTATAGCGATGCACTGTAATTTTGGGGCTCGAAAGAACGATAACAATTTCGTAGATGTTGGAAGGTTCAGTGGTTGTCAAGAGGACAAGACATCAATCTAGTGGTACATTTTGTTTCTGAAGATCATCGACCGTCTGACTAGATCACTGGTTACCAATCTATTTCAGCCTTCACACCCCAAAAATTTGTTTCATCCACATTTGCAGCATGATGTGTTGATGTGAAGTGCAATCTCAATTCAAAATAAATTATTCTACTACACCAGTTGGCCAGACCCCTGACCTAGTCCCACACCCCAAGGGTGAAAACACCCCAGTTTGGGAACCAGGGGACTAGACTGTCTCTCAAAGAAGCAGGGAATTGACAGCTCAATAGGCTGTCAGTGTCAACATGTGATCGTGCATGACTAACTGCATCCACCAAAATCATACAAAAAGAGACGTAGTAATAATTAACAACAACGCAGCCAAATTACATGTTTTATAAAAACGACACCGCGCATAATAAAATCAAGCAACAAAATTGAGAAATACGAATTGCGTTTCAACTTTAATAGCAAATAACCCATTTTGTGGGTTGGCTAATGTTTAGTATATTTGAAATGTCAAACTAAATAACAGAGTATTAAATTCAAGTTAATTGACTTTTGAAAGAGTTGACAGTACACACGCCACTTTTTCTAGTTTAACCTTCATTTCACCTTCAGATATATACTATTATAAGTACAAACTGATAACGCTGTATATTTTAATATGACATGCAAGGGGCGTAACCACCCGAGGGGATCCAATATCCATCATCCCCTTTTCTTTCTTTTTCACCGTTTGTAAATACACTGAGTGTCGGAGTATTCAGAGTTTTTTTTTAAACTAGCTTAAGAAAGAAATCAATCGGGTCCAGAAATTGTTGTTGGATTACTCAGATGCGGGATATCACAGAGTACACTGTATATTATTGTAGCTGTACATGTAGAAAATTTCCAAGTGGATTTCTTTCTTGTATATGTAGTTATTTTTGATCAAACATGGAGAGAAAGGCAATAGAAGTTCCAATAATCCAGTAGATCTATGTTGAACGTCCATTTAAAAGGACTGTCCATAGGGGATGTCATATTGACAAACGTAGTCACATACTGGCATCGGGTATTCTCTAGGGATGAAGTGTGTTTCAACTAGTAAGAGACATATACATGTAATATTGGAGCTTAAAATAAGTAAAAGAAATTAAAAGGCAGTACAGATGTCACAGAAATAACGTGGTCCTATTAAATGGATTATCCCAAAGTTAATTTGACGAAAACAGTTAAACACTGGCATTAGGTATCTAGAGGGACGAGACGTTTCTTATGTGGTAAGAGATACCTTAATATGGATCAAAATATATCATAAGAAATTAACAGTCACGATCTTTAAATAAAACTTCATTGATTTGCACATAAAGGAGATATTTGGTATAATATGCAGTAAAAGGACCTAATTGAGTGTACATGACTGGAAACACGTTAAAAGGGTGCAGTGTCACTTCGAAACGAGCAAACACTATTATACATGTAATTGAATATCAAAAGATCATTACGAATGTAAGTTAATGGTATATTATATTTCAGGACAAAGTAAATCGCTCGATACAATTAGTTTATTAAACTGCATAACATCCTGGTAGTAAGAACATCCTGGTAGGCGTAGTCGTAAATGGACCCAAAATCTTGTAAATGTACCAAAACACTGTGAAAATGTACCAAAACACTTTATAAATGTACCCCAAACTTGTAAATATACCAAAACACTGTGAAAATGTACCAAAAACACTTTGTAAGGTACCCAAAACTTGTAAATGTACCAAAACACTTTATAAATGTACCCAAACCTTGTAAATGCATCTTAAACCGTATGGATGTACCAAAAAACTTTGTTACAACCTCGTAAACAGAAAACCTTGTGAATGTATAGAAAGTGGATTCGAACCCAAGACACCTAATCGCCCTAGCCAGTTCGTTACTGTCAGTCTAATTTCGTAAATAAGTAGATATAATTTCTTAATTAAGTGTCATTAGAAATTGAATGACAACCACAAAGAATAACGTATTGACATTTTGATTTGTCTTTTGTCTTGTTTCACCCTCTCGTGGTCATAAATTCTCAAATTAGGTTGACCCATGAACGAATAGAAAGTGGGTCATCATTTTGGAAAGAAGCATCAAGTTCAGAGGATTTCCATATATCAAAACAGTTTATTGACATTGATTTGACTTTATTCTTTAATCTTTACAAAGAGTATGGCGGAAATGCTTAACAGGAGAGATGAAGCAGGCCATGTAACTTCCTAATTCCTCCCTACAGACAAAATGATACGACAGATACCGACAGAAGAGTCAACTAGTATGTAACAAGCCAATTTCAATCGATTAAAAGCCAAAGTATGAACATTTAAACTGATATTGCACAACACAATACAATACACATTTCTTTAAAAAAAAAAAAAACAGAAGATACGTTTTAAAAATAGTGAAAAACCAGGAAGATCGTTAATTTTTATTTAAGTTTTTGACAATCTTTAAAGGGTGACTGACTTCCTGTATTTAATATGTCCCAAGAATGCGGATCACAATGAATAAA